CTCACACACTCACTCTGTAGAACAAGGGTGATAACATACACACTCACACACTCACTCTGTAGAACAAGGGTGATAACATACACACTCACACACTCTGTAGAACAAGAGTGAGAACATACACACCAACACACTCACTCTGTAGAACAAGGGTGATAACATACACACTCACACACTCACTCTGCAGAACAAGGGTGATAACATACACACTCACACACTCACTCTGCAGAACAAGGGTGATAACATACACACTCACACACTCACTCTGCAGAACAAGGGTGATAACATACACACTCACACACTCACTCTGTAGAACAAGAGTGAGAACATACACACTCACACACTCACTCTGTAGAACAAGAGTGAGAACATACACACACACACTCTGTAGAACAAGAGTGAGAACATAAACACTCACACACTCACTATGCAGAACAAGGGTAAGAACATACACACTCACACACTCACTCTGTAGAACAAGGGGGGAACATACACACACACTCACTCTGTAGAACAAGCGTGAGAACATACACACTCACACACTCACTCTGTAGAACAAGGGTGATAACATACACACTCACACACTCACTCTGCAGAACAAGGGTAAGAACATACACACACACACTCACTCTGTGGAACAAGGGTGATAACATACACACTCACACACTCACTTTGTAGAACAAGGGTGATAACATACACACTCACACACTCACTCTGTAGAACAAGGGTGATAACATACACACTCACACACTCACTCTGTAGAACAAGGGTGATAACATACACACACACTCACTCTGTAGAACAAGGGTGATAACATACACACACACTCACTCTGTAGAACAAGAGTGATAACATACACAGTCACTCACTCACTATGCAGAACAAGGGTGAGAATATACACACTCACACACTCACTCTGTAACACAAGGGGCGAACATACACACTCACACACTCACTCTGTAGAACAAGGGTGAGAACAAACACACTCACACACTCATTATGCAGAACAAGGGTAAGAACATACACACTCACACACTCACTCTGTAGAAGAAGGGTGAGCACATACACACTCACACACTCACTCTGTAGAACAAGCGTGAGAACATACACACTCACACACTCACTCTGCAGAACAAGGGTGATAACATACACACTCACACACTCATTATGCAGAACAAGGGTAAGAACATACACACTCACACACTCACTCTGTAGAACAAGGGGGGAACATACACACACACTCACTCTGTAGAACAAGCGTGAGAACATACACACTCACACACTCACTCTGCAGAACAAGGGTGAGAACATACACACTCACACACTCATTATGCAGAACAAGCGTGAGAACATACACACTCACACACTCACTCTGTAGAACAAGGGGGGAACATACACACTCACACACTCACTCTGCAGAACAAGCGTGAGAACATACACACTCACACACTCACTCTGTAGAACAAGCGTGAGAACATACACACTCACACACTCACTCTGCAGAACAAGGGTGAGAACATACAACAACAACCGCCATTCGCCACTAAGTGGCGGTGACGTCACCACGACGTTTGTACCAGGCCATGTGCACCTTGAGGCCACGCAAAGTGTCGAACGCCCGCTGGCAGGGGGTCACGGGGCAGACCCAAGTGCCACGGGTCGACTGACTGAGATGACTGCGATGACCGGCTGATGCACAACCTTTGCCCCCTACTGTGCCTACCTGCTGTGCTTTAGTCACCTGGCGCTCCGCTCGTTGTTGTGAGCGTCGCTCCTCCGCCCTCCGTTGTTGTTGGAGGGCGACTGCCTCCAACTGCCCAGTAGCGTCCTTCACGAGCCTCCTCCACAGAGGCTGATCTTGACACCGCTGGTACCAGTCATCGGCAAGTCCACTCAGCTCCACGTCCTCCTGTACCACATCACTCCATCTCTTCTCTAGCCCGTGCCGCGCCCGCTTAGCCCCCTCGATCCGGCCGAACAAAAGCTGTTTCGGCATGCGGTGGCTGGGCATGCGGGCTACATGACCCAGCCATCGCAGCCTTGCCTGCCGGAGGAGCTCACCGATGTGACCTTGCCCACTCACATTCACACACTCTCACTCTGCAGGACAGGGGGAGATCGTACAAACTCTACACAAACACTCTGCAGAACAGGAGGAGATCGTACAAACTCTACACAAACACTCACACTCTGCAGAACAGAGAGAGAACGTACAAACCCCACACAAGCACTCACACTCTGCAGAACAAGGGGGAGAACGTACAAACTCCACACAAACACTCTGCAGAACAGGAGGAGAACGTTCACACTCCACACAAACACTCACACTCTGCAGAACAGGAGGAGAACGTTCACACTCCACACAAACACTCTGCAGAACAGGAGGAGAACGTTCACACTTCACACAAACACTCACACTCTGCAGAACAGGGGGAGAACGTACAGACTCCACACAAACACTCACACTCTGCAGGAGGAGATCGTACAAACTCCACACAAACACTCACACTCTGCAGAACAGGGGGAGAACGTACAAACTCTACACAGACACTCACACTCTGCACAACAAGGGAAGAACGTACAGACTCGATACAGAGAGAATGCGCCCGAGTCTGGAATCGAACCTAGATGGCGAGACACAAGCGTGGCCACTGTTAAAACTCTGGGCATGGCTGCTGCTGCTGCTGCTAATAACGATGCTGACAACGGGTTACGAGTGTATGTGAACATAATTGTTAGCATAACGTTTCACCTAAGTTCATGTACTTTTCCGTTTAAGGCCACACAACGGTGCTGCTGCTGCTGCTGTTGTAGTTGTTGACGAGTGTTGTTGTTGTTTGCGTTGTCTGTGTACCGCTGACAACGAAGCAACAGCGGCGGCGGCGGTGAGTAGCATCACCAAATAATTCCACTCTTGACTCGTTCCCCTCGGAACATTCACGTGGATATCTCCGTGATGTTCACGCCATTTAAAAGGACGTCTACGCATCGGGCGACGTTTCGGGCAACGGCCCTTTTTAGTATTCCGAAGAAGGCCCGTCGCCGCATCGGAGTGTAATGCCACGAGTAGAACCGTACTCTTTGGTTCTTTCGGTAAAGTCACGTAGGTAGAACAACAAGGATACATCACGACGTGTCGATCGCAACACAAGCATTCGTCTTCAAATCAAGAACGAGTAGAACCATTGCCCGAAACGTCGTCCAGCATATATATTTATTTCCCTTTGAAGGCCACACAGTATTATTGACTCACGTGTTGAGTTGCTCGTCACCATGCAACAATTAGCATACCGCACTTACTATTGGCAGTAAATTCACCCTCCAGTCCTTCGCGATTCGGTTCCAGTCCGGACCCAGTCGTAAGCCCCAGTCCAAGGCACACTCGCCTAGAAGTCCCAGACTCACGAATATAGTTCCAGTTCCACGTTATAACCCTCTACTCCAGTCCGGGTCTTCATGAGCAAAACACTCGGGCCGTTGTGAAACTGCGCGTTGTGCATGCACGTTGAACTTCTTTCGCACCGTACGTAGCCATCCGTGCCCCGATCGGAGGTGCAGACACGTGGGGTCGTGATGCGAACCACGGGATTGAATCTACCCTCGAAAAGTCTCCGATGCAACGGCGATGCTTGGGGCGCAACGCGTGCCAAGAGGAACGTCCGCCGCGGAGACGGAGCGACAAGATCGACGTTCTGTCGTCGTTACACCGCGTGGCGTTCGGCAAGGTGTCTGACGTTTCGCTCCACGTACCCGGGTTGTCGAGTTGACGTCCAAGGCGGTGTCCGCATCTTAAGGCGTCAGTCATTGAGGCGAAGCCGAGGGTCCTGATTGTTCTCAGCTGTGCCGGAGGACCTCTGCATCAGAGGGTACGCAGACTCTCCCCATGAGGAGTAGACGTGATATCAGTTCGCGTGCAAGGTGCCGGGTGGACCGTGACATCCGCAGGGCTCGTGATAGGTGGCGGTGGCGGCATTCATCCAGCAGTGGAATGACCATGGCTGATTTGTTATCATGACGATGCGTTCGGGCAGGAGGTGTGTCGTCAAGCCTTGCTGTGACTGCGATGTCCCTGTCGGTTCCATAACGAGCGCTTGACTGATGATGATTTTGACGATGATGATGATGATGATGTCTCAGATACTGCTGTTGATTATGATGTCGATGGTAACGGTTAATCTACCGCCGTTACAACAAGGAGGTTATTTATGTGGCGATGGGCAAGCAAGCGGGGTCTGAGCTGGAAAGGAATTCCATCCCCGGACGCAAGCAAGTCAGTTGTGTTAATGGGGGAGATTAGGGAGAGAGAGAGAGATTAGGGAGAGAGAGCTTAGCATGAAATGAGCTTCCGTCGCCGCATAAGAGTATCGTCCCCGCATATGCGCACAACAGCAGTGTTCATGGGAGATTGTTGTAACAGATATCTCGCTGGTTCAGCGGTTCTACTGCTGGATAATTTTTTTCCGCCTGAGGACGAGCGCTTGTGTTGCGATCGAAACGTCGTGATATATTTTTTAGTTTTATTTTATTTTTCTACCTACTTGGTGACTTTACCGAAAGAAATCAAAGAGTTTGGATTCCTGCTGTCACGAAAGCTTCAAATCAAGATTATCTTAGATACGTCTGCTGTTGACGATGAGGGCCCAGCCACGGCTGCTGATGATATCTGAAATAAAGTTGGTATTGATGGTGATCGCGCAGATGCTGCAACTGATGATGATGATGATGCTACTGCTGCTTCTGATGGTGTTGATTGAATGTGTGGGCTTGTTGGGATAAGTGCTGTTAGCAAGCCCCTATTAAGACCAATTAGCGAACATGATGTGGGTGGTGGTGATGGTGTATTATGGTGGTGGGGGGTGGCCGTGTAGCGGCCAGCACGCTGCGCTATGAACCACGGTGACACGAGTTAGATTCCCGCTCACGCTCAACACCAGTGACGATTATCTGAAGCGGCCCTGGGCCTCCCCCAGGTCGATTCAGCCGCAAATGAGTCACTGGTGCAGTGTGGGCACATCGCCTCGTGTGCCGTGCTGGGCTCCATACGTGCTACTCGATAACAGCACTTGCCCCAGAAATCTGTTTAGGCTATACGGGGGATATTTTTTGGTGGTAGTGATGTCATAATGCATACCAGGTTGCTATAGGTGGCAGCGGCAGGGTTAAGCGGTGGGCACCCATTGCTGTACAGTACTTCTATGACTCCCAGCTGTCCGTACGATCCCCGCATTTGGCTAACCAGCACTGACCAGCGTGGTGAAGTATGGTCAAATAGCCTACCACAACACGCACGGGCGTGGGAAAGCCCTCAAGCAGCAGTGGATTATCGCGTGCAAGGTAACCTCGTCGTCTATAGCACGTGCAAGGTAACCTCGTCGTCTATAGCACGTGCAAGGTAACCTCGTCGTCTATAGCACGTGCAAGGTAACCTCGTCTATAGCACGTGCAAGGTAACCTCGTCTATAGCACGTGCAAGTTAACCTCATCGTCTATAGCACGTGCAAGGTAACCTCGTCGTCTATAGCACGTGCAAGGTAACCTCGTCTATAGCACGTGCAAGGTAACCTCGTCGTCTATAGCACGTGCAAGGTAACCTCGTCTATAGCAAGTGCAAGGTAACCTCATCGTCTATAGCACGTGCAAGGTAACCTCGTCGTCTATAGCACGTGCAAGGTAACCTCGTCTATAGCACGTGCAAGGTAACCTCGTCGTCTATAGCACGTGCAAGGTAACCTCGTCGTCTATAGCACGTGCAAGTTAACCTCGTCTATAGCACGTGCAAGGTAACCTCGTCGTCTATAGCACGTGCAAGTTAACCTCGTCTATAGCACGTGCAAGGTAACCTCATCGTCTATAGCACGTGCAAGGTAACCTCGTCGTCTATAGCACGTGCAAGGTAACCTCGTCTATAGCACGTGCAAGGTAACCTCGTCGTCTATAGCACGTGCAAGGTAACCTCGTCGTCTATAGCACGTGCAAGTTAACCTCGTCTATAGCACGTGCAAGGTAACCTCGTCGTCTATAGCACGTGCAAGATAACTTCGTCGTCTATAGCACGTGCAAGGTAACCTCGTCTATAGCACGTGCAAGGTAACCTCGTCTATAGCACGTGCAAGGTAACCTCGTCTATAGCACGTGCAAGGTAACCTCGTCTATAGCACGTGCAAGGTAACCTCGTCGTCTATAGCACGTGCAAGGTAACCTCGTCTATAGCACGTGCAAGGTAACCTCGTCTATAGCACGTGCAAGTTAACCTCATCGTCTATAGCACGTGCAAGGTAACCTCGTCGTCTATAGCACGTGCAAGGTAACCTCGTCTATAGCACGTGCAAGGTAACCTCGTCTATAGCACGTGCAAGGTAACCTCGTCGTCTATACAACGTGCTGCTGCTGATGTTGCTGCTGATGTTTTGGTCGAGACGACATACAATAATGATCTCTCAAGAGTCCCCAAACAACACTCGAGCCGCCAAAGAACTAACTGTGCGTTACTACATCTCCGTATGCGGGTCCTCAGCCAGTGCTGGAAATTCCACATTCCCATGACGGGGGAAGGAGGTTGGAAGGGGGGGGGGGTGCAGCCTCTCCGTAGGACGAGCACTGCCGTCTGCGCACGCACGAAGCTGTTACCAATTTTATCGGCCTCACAGGAGGGGTTCTGGTGGTGGTGGCGGTGGTGATGATGATGTTGACAGGCAACTCAAACCCCGGGTGTGTGAGACCTCGCCTCGGCGAGACGCGGCAGCTGACTGACCCAGACAGAGAGAGAGAGACCCCGTTCAGGAGTAGACCTCAGGTGTGGCGACTGATGATGATGATGGTGGTCGTTGTGGCTCCTCGGATCTCAACTCGGCTTGTACCAAACGAGTCTCTTCTCAATGCAGCCCCGAAACCCATGGGGTGTCCTCAGACGAGTGCGCTCCGGGACACGTCCCATCTTGGCGTCCGATTCCTTGCCAATGATGCTGTCGATGGTGAATGATGGCTTGGCGGTCGGGTGGACACCACGACTATTCCCGTTGGTCGCCCCGACCACACCTCTGTCGGCTTCCTTGTCGTCGGCGCTACTGCCCGACAGCGCCCGCCGGACTTTGAAGGTCGCCGCCGGGGCTGACGACGGAGGCGTGGGGGCTGACGACGGAGGCGTGGGGGCTGACGAGGGAGGCGTGGGGGCTGACGAGGGAGCGCGCGGGGTCCCCGCGTCCCCTCGCTCGGGGGAGCTCCGAGTAGTCACGCGAGACGCCAGCGGTGGCATGAGAGGCAAGGCCAGTGTGGGGTAAGGTGGAGGAGGTTGATGTTGTAATAGCGGCGGTGGCGGTGGTGGTGCGGTTAACATCCCTCCTTGCTGCTGCTGCTGCTCATGACGGTGGCCGTGATGATGATGATGATGCTGCTGCTGCGGCTGATGGTGGTGGTGCTGGTGGTGGTGATTCCTCGCTCGTAACGGTGAAGTCAGACCACCGCCCAGCGAGCTCGCGCAGTAGCTGTAATGGTGCGGCTGATGATGATGATGCTGCTGCTGCTGATGATGATGATGAGGCAGGAAACCCAGGCCAGAGATGGCGAAGTGAGCTGCAGACTCGTAGTCGTTGGCGCTCATCCGCTTGAAGCGCTTCCGTCGGCGCAAGAAGGAGCCGTTGTCGAACATGTCGGCCGAGTCGGGATCCAGAGTCCAGTAGTTGCCCTTGCCAGGGTTGCCGGGTTCCCTGGGCACCTTCACGAAGCAGTCGTTGAGCGACAAATTGTGCCGGATCGAGTTCTGCCACGCGGGGAACTTGAGTCGGTAGTAGGGGAAGCGGGCGCTGATGAAGTCGCAGATCTCGCTGAGCGTGAATCGCTTCTGTGGGCTCTGCAGGATGGCCATGGTGATGAGGGCGATGTACGAGTAGGGAGGCTTCACGACGCTCTGCCGGGAGCCGACGCAGCGTCGTGAATCGTCGCCGACGTCGCCGCTAGCGCCGTCGTCGGCCCCAACATCGACACCGGTTGTGACAACAACAACACCGCCGCCGCCACCACAACCAGCACCACCAGCACCAGCACCGCTACCACCACCATCTGCGACATCGTCACAGCTGCTGCTGCTGCCGCTGTCCTCGGGGCTGTTGCTCGCATCGCCACCGTCGCTGCCGACGCACGGGACGCCGCCAAACGTGACACGTCGGACGTTGATGGCGCGAGCCGACGAAGATGACGACGACGAGGAGGAGGAAGATGACGAAGAGGAGGATGATGATGATGATGTGTAGCCGGGCGACGATGGCCTCGCGGGTGCCGTCACGATGGTCTGGCAGGGAGCGACCTGCCCGGTAGGTGTCTGCCCGGTGGCTGTCTGCCCGGTAGGTGTCTGCCCGGTAGGTGTCTGCCCGCGGAACGAAGCGCTGAACCTTTCTGCTCCGATGACGACGGCGGCGGCGCCATACTCGTCGTCTCGGTAAGGGCCCTCGCTGTTGTTGCTGATGTTGTCCACGTTGCTGTTGTTGTTATTGCTGTTGTCCACGTTGCTGCTGCTGTTGCTGCTGTTGTTGCTGCCGGCGTGGTTGTCCGAGTCGCCGTCGCCGCTCGGACCTCCCACCACGTCGATGTCATCCGTGTCCAGGTCCGGGCTGCAGTCGATCATCCTCTCGCCTCGACCCAGCGTCATGGCGAGTTGAGATCTTTGTGTCTTTGCGCTCGCCCCAAGAGTCCGGTTCAGGCTATACGGGGAATCTTTGCCTAGGTGTGTCTTCTGTGTGTGTGTGTGCGTGTGTGTGTCTTCTTTGTGTCTTCTGTGTGTTTGTCTTCTTTGCGTGTGTGTGCGTGTGTGTGTGTCTTCTTTGTGTTTTCTGTGTGTGTGTCTTCTGTGTGTGTGTGCGTGTGTCTTCTTTGTGTCTTCTGTGTGTGTGTCTTCTGTGTCTGTGTCTTCTGTGTGTGTGTACGTGTGTGTGTGTGTGTCTTCTTTGTGTCTTCTGTGTGTGTGTCTTCTGTGTGTGTGTCTTCTGTGTGTGTGTGCGTGTGTGTGTGTCTTCTTTGTGTCTTCTGTGTGTGTGTCTTCTATGTGTGTGTCTTCTCTGTGTGTGTGCGTATGTGCGTGTGTGTGTGTCTTCTTTGTGTCTTCTGTGTGTGTGTGTGCGTGTGTGTGTGTGTCTTCTGTGTGTGTGTCTTCTTTGTGTATTCTGTGTGTGTGTCTTCTGTGTGTGTGTGTGTATCTTCTGTGTGTCTTCTGTGTGTGTCTTCTGTGTGTGTCTTCTGTGTATGTGTGTGCGTGTGTGTGTGTCTTCTTTGTGTCTTCTGTGTGTGTGTCTTCTTTGTGTGTGCGTGTGTGTGTGTCTTCTTTGTGTCTTCTGTGTGTGTGTCTTCTGTGTGTGTGTCTTCTGTGTGTGTCTTCTGTGTGTGTCTTCTGTGTGTGTGTCTTCTGTGTGTGTGTGTGCGTGTATGTGTGTGTTCTTTGTGTCTTCTGTGTGTGTGTCTTCTGTGTGTGTGTCTTCTGTGTGTGTGTGCGTGTGTGTGTTTTCTTTGTGTCTTCTGTGTGTGTGTTTTCTGTGTGTGTGTCTTCTGTGTGTGTGTCTTCTGTGTGTGTGTCTGTGCGTGACGTATGTCGCTATCTGTGTGTGTCTATGTATGCGTGTCTATGTATACGTCTCTGTGTGTGGCTGTCTTTGTGTGTCGATGCGTGTGTCTGCATGTATTTGTGTCTGTGTATAAATGCATGTGTGTTCGTCTTTATGTACGTGGTTGTATCTATGCGTGTGTGTCTATGTGTATGTATCCGTGTGTGTGTGTCTATGTGCGTCTGTGTGTCTATGTGCGTGCCCAATCAACCCGTGTAGGCTATTTGTGGTATCTTTTTATTTGTATATGTGTGCCTCTATGTGTGAATTACTAAACGTCTGTGTCTATATATGTGTCTATTTGTGTGTCTATGCGTGTGTATATATGTATACGTGTGTGTCTGTGTGTCTACGTGTGTGTCTGTGTGTCTACGTGTGTGTGTGGGTCTATGTGTGTCTACGGGTGTGTCTGTGTGTCTAGGTGTGTGTGTGTAGGTGTGTGTCTACGTGTGTGTCTATGTGTGTCTACGGGTGTGTCTGTGTGTCTAGGTGTGTGTGTCTAGGTGTGTGTGTGTCTAGGTGTGTGTGTCTATGTGTGTCTGTGTGTGTGTCTGTGTGTCTATGTCTGTGTGTCTAGGTGTGTGTCTGTGTGTCTATGTGTGTCTACGGGTGTGTCTGTGTGTCTAGGTGTGTGTGTCTAGGTGTGTGTGTGTGTATAGGTGTGTGTGTGTGTGTCTATGTGTGTCTAGGTGTGTGTGTCTAGGTGTGTGTGTATAGGTGTGTGTGTCTATGTGTGTCTAGATGTGTGTGTCTAGGTGTGTGTGTGTGTGTATAGGTGTGTGTCTATGTGTTTCTAGATGTGTGTGTCTAGGTGTGTGTGTCTAGGTGTGTGTATAGGTGTGTGTGTCTATGTGTGTCTAGATGTGTGTGTCTAGGTGTGTGTGTATAGGTGTGTGTGTCTATGTGTGTCTAGATGTGTGTGTCTAGGTGTGTGTGTCTAGGTGTGTGTATAGGTGTGTGTGTCTATGTGTGTCTAGATGTGTGTGTCTAGGTGTGTGTGTGTATAGGTGTGTGTGTCTATGTGTGTCTAGGTGTGTGTGTCTAGGTGTGTGTGTGTATAGGTGTGTGTGTCTATGTGTGTCTAGGTGTGTCTAGGTGTGTGTGTGTACCGCGCTCATGGTCAGTGTCGACGCGAATCGTCTCTCTGCCTAATCTCTACCTGTAGAGTCTGTGACTTAAAGACAAAGCATATATTTTGTATAATGTATGCTAACGAATATTTGTGTGTGTTTGTGTTGCAATGTTTTAACCAGATGTGTACTTTACGTCGTGATTGTGTGTGTCTGTGTATAGATGCTCGCTAACGGCACTTGCCCCCAACAGTCTGTGCAGGCTATACGGGGGATCTTTGTATTTGTGTGTACATGTATGTGTACGTGTGTGTGTGTATGTGTGTGTGTACGTGTGTATATCCGTGCGGCTGTGTGCTCCGCTCCAATGTGCGTCTGCAGACACACACACACAATGGCACGTGTGTACGTGGTTCATGTGTATGTGCCGTCTGTCAAAGAGATAGGCATGATGACCTCATCTCCAATCTGCAAACTCATGTAATTAAATGCATATGTGTTGACGTGATACATATGCGTATGTTGTGTGTGTAGTATTACTGTTGTATGTCTGTGTATTGCCTATGCGCATGTACGCATGTGTATACGCATGTGTGTATCTCCCTATATATCTCTGCGTATCTCTCTACGACTTTGTGCTGATATATTTACTTTATAATTCTCCCCTTATGAGGTTTTTAATATGCATCATTGTATGTATGTGCGTGTCTCTTTGTGTATCGCTGTGTATATTTATGCGTGTATATTTAAGTGTGTATATCTACATATATATTTATCTGTGTATATGTGTATCTTTATATACGCCACTTGTGTATGTGTATACCTATATCTCTGTATTTGTTTCTCTATGTGTGTCTGTGTGTATCTATGTGTGTATAACTGCATATATATCTCTGTATGTATCTCTATGTATAGCACTGTGTCTCTGTGTGTCTGTGTGTATGTGTGACCTGTGTGTCTCTGGCTATATCTCTCTGTGTGTATCTCTGTGTGTGTGTCTGAATGTATACAACTGTGTGTCTGTGTATCTGTGTGTGTACCTGTGTGTATCTCGATGTGTCTCTGCGTATATCTGCGTGTGTTGCTCTATGTATACCACTGTGTGTGTGTCTGTGTGTCTCTGTGGTGTGTGTCTGTGTGTCTATCTCTGTATTTATCTCTATGTATACCACTGTGTGTGTGTCTGTGTGTATCTGTGTGTGTGTGTCTGTGTGTCTATCTCTCTGTTTTTCCCGATGTGTACCACTGTGTGTGTATGTATCTGTGTGTGTGTGTGTATGTGTTACCTGTGTGTATCTCTATGTATCTCTGCGTATACGCGTGGGCATCTGTGATGCGTCTTCGTGAAGAACGGTCTTTAAAAAAAACGTCGCTCACGTCTGCCGGCAAAGTCCAAGACGTTTCCTAAGTGATTTCCTCGAAGGCTTTTTTAAAATAAAACAAAACCGAAGAGAAAGAAAACACGCAGGCACACGCTCACTCACACGGTCGATCTTACTTCGCTTCAACTCAAGTCGAACATTTCACGAACATCCTTAAACATCGCCTAAAAACAATAAATTCACCGGCCCAACTCATCGGGACTTCGACGGTGGCGAATTGCAGCGAGCTGCCGTCTCTGGCGATCGCGTTGATGAGATTAACGGTGCAGAGTACGTCGTCGTCGTCGTTGTTGTTATTGTTGTTGTCTTTGCACCGAGGTCGGGTCTTAAGCTTCTGTTGCTCGTAACTCGCATTCGCTGGATAAAGGACGCAAAGTCCGTGAATATCGCTCGCCCCCTTCCCTGCGAGCGGTCATTGACGTCTGTTCGAGACCGCTTGCGATCCCAGCCTCGGCGAATACTGATCGAGTTCATCTTAAGACCGGGGACCCCCTCCCCTATACCCCACTCACTCACTCGCACGCACACACACACACACACTCGCACGCACACACACACGCACACTCGCACGCACACACACACTCGCACGCACACACACTCGCACGCACACACACACATGGAAAGGAGGGAGGTAACACTCTCTCCACAGAAGGCATGCACGCCAGCAAGTCCAATAACACGCACACACACTCACCCTCTCTCTCCACCACCCCACATACCGCGGCCAACAACCACCACACACAACACAACCATTGCAGCAACCCTTCCAAACCAAAATCGCCGCCACCACCAACTCTTCTCCACCCATCAACCCTCCCGCACCAGCAGTAACCCCTCCTTACACACACAAAGACAAAGCTCCTTCATCCTCCTCCTCCTCCTCGCTCCCTTCCCGACCGTGTAGCCGACATCAGACTGCTCGGAGGAAAGTGATGTTAGCCAGGGACGAGGTGGGGGGCGGTGAAGGTCGAGATTGTGCGGTTCGCACCCACGTCCGGCCGTCTTTGTCTCCCCGGTGCTGATATTGATCAAACAAAAAAACGATTTGCCCAGTGTAGCCTCGGCATAGTGTTTGGGGGCGAGAGTGCTGTTAGCGAGCGGCTAAAGAAGGCCGGCACGGTACACGAGGGGGTGGGTGGCCAGCACCACCCACGCCCGGCCGCCTTTGTCTCCCCCCAGTGACGATGTTTACACACCGCACCAGGCACTCATTAGAGGCTGAGTCGACCTGGGGGAGGCCCAGGACCGGTTCAGATAATCGTCACCGGTTTTGGTCGTGAGCGGGAATCGAACTGGGGTAGCCAGGTTCGTAGCGCAGCGTAGCGCTAACCGCTGCACCACCGCTCCCAACGAAGACTTACACACAGACACACACACAGACACACACACACCGATATACAGACTGACATTCAGACAGACACACACACAGACATGCAGACACACACAGACAGACACGCATACAGACAAAGACCCCCCCCCCCAGACAAAGATCCCCCGTATAGCCTGTAACGGACTGTTGGGGCAAGTGCACACACACCGACAAACACAGTCACAAACACACAGACACACACACAGACACACACGGACCAGCCCACCCACTCTTCCTAGTCCCCCCTCCCTCCCCATTTGCTTCGAGGGGGATTGGAGGGAGGGGGTCGTGGAGGGGGGGGGGGGTGGTGGAGGGGAGGGGTTGGGGCTGTGACGTTTCCACTCACCATTGTTTGGGTTATTTCATTATTATGGCGTCATATTAAT